TTTCGTATTATTCATATTTGTACTTTTTTTGTCATTTTTTCCGTTAGAAATTCGCAATTTGATTGGCCAATGCATGAAGATCACTTATGAAATTACCTCCGCTTTAGCGGACCCCCAATTTCGGATCGCTAGTTTCGGAAGAATCGAATTTGGGGGTCTTTGGCAAAACCCATTTCGCCAGGTTTCGGAGGTTTCGCCCGGGCGAAAGTTTCGGTTTCGCCTACAACACTACTAGTCTTGAATGCAACAACATTGGATTTTCACGTATTCCTGCATCCAACTAGGATGCTGAATATACAGAGCCAAATCTTCCTTTGTTAATTTTTATATTAGATAATCTATCAAATGGAATCCACTCAATCGCATACACATATTTAAAGGTTCTAAGTTGAAATTCTCTGCTTTGTTTCTATTTATCCATCTTTGTGTTATGATGTCGGGATCTTACATCAAGCACCAAGCTGGTTGTGTGTTATTTTCATTTAAATATGCACATTTACCGTGTTCATTATCCTAACAGCTACTCCATTTAAGAGCCTATATATGCCATACTTCAGATGAAACTATTGTAGATTTAAAATTCACTTTACAATTTTACAGCTCCAGCAAATACAAAATTGAGAATTTGCCATTTGTTATCTCATTAGCAATGACCAAATTATTATTGTTGTTGTTTATTGTATAAGATTGTGATATTGGAATAGAATTTTTTTGATTTTTGTTGCAATTATGAGTCAAAACCCGGAAAAGACTAATTCGAGGAAATACCGATACGGTGCTTGTTCTGAAAAAAGACTGGGTCATTGAACGTGTTACGAAAGAATAGCGGTATAATACAGAAACGAACATAGATGGTAAATGATTGGGTTCTATTACAACTGGGGAATAGTATCAAGTGCTAAGCTTCAATTGCTGTTTGTTACAAATATGGAATAGCGATAGGTGTGGAATCAAACCTATGATTTAAAGTCGCTGTTTAGGCTGCCGGCCCCTTCCGATACCAAAACTTCTCATCTAATTTCTCAATCTTTTGTATCTATTTGTGAAAACGCCATAATAAAGGGTAAAGAAAACTATAGAGACATAAGTTATACAGTATTTATACAGTAGGCCGACATTTACTATGTGTCGGCGTTAACAGAATAACAGTAACCAAATTCAGCAGACAGACTAAATTCCTGTAACGTGATTATGCGATTTTATGAATATCGGTATAGTCAATTACACGTTTTATTATAACGATAATATCTGGTATCTACTGTATGTCGTACGTCGGAATGGAATGGAACTATAGTAGATTTAGAATCCACTTAACGTTAGGTTGAAACGGAAATCCAAGTCAATAATTCTAAATTTGATACGTTTAAGGTAATAGCTGATGGTCGATAAATTTAAAAGAAATTAAGTTGATTCTCTTAATGATATTAAAAGTAAATTAAAATGTAAATATTTTATTTCACTCTTATCATTTTTTATAACTCAATCAGATGACCGAATCTCAAGATTATCCATTTTATCTGGTATGCTGAAAATTCTTTCCGTGAAACCTTATTTCTTATTAAATTTTTACAAGATCGTTATTTGGCAAACGCGTTGCCATTCGTGATCTGGGCGTAACAATAATTGCCATCCTAGTAATTATTCATTATGAGAATATTATTTGAATTCTTTAACCCATTTTTAGAATCTACTTAACGTCGACTATTCCATTATGGCGTACTGTACGACATCTGTGTATCCTTCGGAATAATTCTTATCTATGTCGGAATTTTCTTATTGATTATAGAGTCAGGCAAATTCGAAACATACACAACTACCGATCGAAATCTATCGGTTAAATATACACATAATTTCGCATTACATAATCCTGGACACTCTACTGGCGCGTGTACAGTGGGGTGGTTGGTCAACTAATTAAATCAAAATTATATGTAGACCCATAATAAAAACAATTAGGCAATTTTTTAAATACGAATGTATTGTTACACAGATAATTATCATTTTTTAATAGGATTTTATTATACGAAAGTGATAGATTTTTGAAATCTAACTCCTCTCGCAGTATTAATTCTTCAAATTTAAGAACAATATGAAACAGATTAAAAAGGCATGCTCTTTAATTTATCGTGGGGATTTTTCTTTTTTGCATTTAAAATTTTACGGTAATATTTTATCAATATATATTTATATTAAAATTTTAAATGCAAAAAGAAAAATCCCCACGACAAATTAAAGAGCATGCCTTTTTAATCCATTTCATATTATTCTTAAATTTGAAGAATTAATACTGCGAGAGGAATTAGATTTCAAAAATCTATCACTTTCGTATAATAAAATCCTATTAAAAAATGATATTTATCTGTGTAACAATACATTCGCATTAAAAAATTGTCTAATTGTTTTTATTATGGGTCAGCGTGTACGGTATATCAGCTCAGACTACACCCTATACTTACTTAGGCCGGGTGTCATCTGATCTGAGGCATACAGTTTAATATATCACCATATTTTTAGTGGCATACACATATATGACAAAATTTATTTATTTACATTTGTTTTATAAAATCATATTATTTTAATTTTAAAATAAGAAAATTAAGAAAATTGCAATATAATCATTTAAACATTTCTGATATTTATTTAATTCTATAACGGAAAAGTGTGAAAAAACTGCCCTAGAACGTAAAACTACCACCACTACTATGGCTACCGAAATTTGAAGGATTAAACTCAATGGCCGAATAGTAAATAGATTGATCTTGGATCCGAGAGCCGGGCGACCGGGATAAATAATTGGATGATACGATTGTATCAGCAGTAACAAATGATACTTCGTCAACATCGTTAGAATCATCAACATCATCGCCAGATTCGGCGCGTTTAGATAGGACGGAAAGTTTTTGAGCTAAAATTATTTTAACTTCGTCACTTGGTGGGATGTTGCTATTCACACGTGTCAAAGTTGGTGCATCAACTACATCTGGAACAGCAGAAACGTGTTTAGGTAATGACAGAACCTAGTATAAAAAAAAAGTTAATATTAAGAGCACCATCAAAGAATTCAATCCTTGCCATATAAGTATTCGTAAATCAGAGAAGAGAGAAATATGTTTCTGGTTTCTCAAATTTCAGATACTTATGACAAGCTATATAGATATTTTTATGAAATATGACTTCACCTGCATAAAGGGATGTTCCAAAGCCTGTGAAGCTGTTAATCTATCTCTTACGTTAACATTCAATAAACCTCTTATTAAGTCTTTTGCCTCATTACTAATGTGGCTCCATACTGGGGGATAGAATCGATATAATCCCAACCTTACTTGTTCTTCGAAAGCTGGTGGTCCGAAGTCTTTAGCGAACGGTGGATAACCACAAAGGCAGACGTACAGGATTACGCCAAGACTCCACATGTCAACCGCTTTTCCATAACTACGCCTAGGTGACCGATCGAGGACTTCGGGAGCAATGTAAAGAGGTGTTCCACACATGGTTTTCATCAAAGAGTATTCAGGACCAAGAAGTTTAGATAAACCGAAATCCGTTATCTTAACTTCAAGATTGGCCTTGTTCGACATGAGAATATTTTCAGGTTTAAGATCTCGATGAACGATACGATGATCATGTAAATACTAAATAAAAATGTTAGCAATAATTGATCAAAAAGAAGAGAAAAAAAAAAAAAAAAAAAAAAAAAATATATATATATATATATATATATGTATAGAATACCTTCATCGCTTCAAACAATTGTTTAAAAATGATTCGAGCCTCATATTCAGATAGTTTCTTTTTTTTTGATATAAATTCGAAAAATTCACCATCTTTAATGTAATCCATAACAAGATATAATTTGTCATCTTCATTATATAAATTACGAATGCGAACTAAAGACGGCTGATTAAAATAAAATACGGAATGGTCAAAAAAATAAAATAAAATAAAATAAAAGGATATTGAAAAGAATGAACCATATTTATGAACTTACATGTTCTATCTTATGCATTATAATAATTTCATCATGAAGTTTCGCGTTTGGTTTTTTCGCCACAGTATTTTTGTCAATAATTTTCACAGCATATTCTTGAAACTTTGACTCATTACCTACAACGGCATTAGCAAGAGTTGCCAACTTTACTTCCCCAAAGTGGCCTGTTCCCAGGACACCTTTAATTCTATAATCATTATGAAATCTCCCTTCCGGCTTTAAGTCGATCTCTATGGAATAACTATACCAACCACCATTTGAAGAAGGAAATCGGATATAATCACCATCCTTTAACTCAAAATATTGGTTTGACATTAGTTCACGCTCCAAAACCTTAACTGCTCCGTTTCGACTGTAACGGGCAAAATTGGAAAATGAATCAAATTAATGATTTATATAAAAACGCGCTTAGAAATACTCAAAATTCGATAAGGAAATTAGATACCTATGATTTTGCAACTTTACGACCGTTCCTATACCGTCGGTATATTCCTATTAAAAATGAACTATCAGATTCCGAATTGATGCCCTAAATGTTCAACGCGAAAATAAATAAATAAATATGTACTTTGAAGATGGAACAATGTATCATATCTATTCTGGGATCAGCCGGTAGCCGCTAGAAAAATAAACCAAAAATATTTAGTGATCTCATTTTTTGGAAACACGTAGATAAATGATAATATTTACTCTAAATACAGGTTCATTATGCTGCTGGTTTCCTAAATAATGCACCTTCTCGGTCAGATAGATAGACGGAAAGCCACGATTATCCGAAGGCACGAGAATGGCCCATGCATTTTGCGGCCCGGTATACCGGACAATACTAGCATTTGGTACCGCATTTTGTGATCCACCTGATCCACCAAATCGTCTTAAAAAATCAGGAATAACCCTTTTGTTATTTCGTGTAGTGGAGCGACGTGGTGGCGACATAACTTTCCCTGCACAAATAGAAAACTTTATCAGAAGCCAGACGCGTTATTTCTACTTGCTCTTAAACTAATATATTTCGTAATTCTAACCGTTCGGAGCAAAAAAAAAAAAAAATTCGTGTGCTGGTCGGTTCAAATAAAAAAAAGGGATTTTATACCTGTATGCGTCAATCAGTGGCTTATTGTTGACCCGTGGGAAGAATTATGGAAAAATAGACTATCGGTATATTTCAGTATTTGTTTAGTTAATCATCACCCATCACAAGAGAAAATGAGATTGATAGCCATTTTTGGAAAATCAAGATTACTTTAAAGTCCGTTTGTCGAGTGATGCTTGGTCAAAGTTGGTTAAATTACCTAATTCATGGTATACTGTATATATCGATATTTTCATGTAATCATAATTACTCAAAGACATCAAAATTTTAACAAAAGTACAGTACATACTAGCTATTTTAGCTATTTCGTATTGTTCAAATAAATAGGTCTAAAATTTAATGTCTATTATCAAAAGAAAAAACAATCACGTATTTGTCGCTAGATAAGATACGTACGTATAGTATAGTTGGGTATCGTAGTATCTTATCCGTTATTGTTATTAGTTATATACTGTAAATAATTATTACGATTTGTTGTTGATATTATAAATTTAATTAAGAACTCTGATTGGTTAGGGTTAACAGTTATCTAACCAAATTCGATGAACTTTTTTTTTTATTCTATGTACGAATTCAAACAAAAAAAAGGTTATCGAATTTGGTTAGATAGCTATTGAAGTTCACAGTTTTGAAAAAATTTGAATATTTATTAAAACAAGGATTACTGTAACCGTTATATTAAAATTTGAAGATCAGGTGTAACGTAAAAATCAAAACAATCTTTTTTCTTTGAAGTCAGAGTTAGCTCGAGATTAAGGTTAGAGTAGAGCATAGTTTATACTAAAATTTTAACGCTTAGATGATTTTGCTTGTTATTTTATTTTAAGGAAAAAACTAGTATAAGTTACAAAGTATATAAAACTATAGAAATCTATAACTAAATATTCTTTTTTTAACCAATTTGAACTTATTTGGCTATTTTTAAATATCTAAATATTTTTTTTTTTATTTTTAAGGTGGCTTACATAGCCGAGCGAATTTTTATTAGTTTGATATATGAGGTTCCACATAGGGTTCCTCTACAGTTTGTAATTACATGAAGAGTGTACAACAAGCCACACATACAACTTTAGTCATTGTCTAATTTAAGTAGTCC